CAACTATCGACTTGACTTTCGCAAGACACATTACAGCAGAAACACTTCCTTTCATTTCATATTTCTCCTATCATCGTCCTATCCTCAACAAAATCACTCAAATAGGAATTAGTTAAGTTTTAGTTTACATGTACAATGTTTTAGTAAACAAAATATATTTCTATAGTTAAAATTTGTGCAATTCTTATTTTCATTCAATTCCTTGTTCCTATTGTGCAATTTAATTATATTCATATCAATAAATATTCTACCGTTGTCACGTAAAATCTTCGCCCGTAAAACCGACTTTACAGGCAACCATTGTTTTTTTTATTTAGCTTTATTTTAATCCCTGGAAACTTTTATTTTTCCGTTTATCATTACTCTTCACAATTCATCCTCTCCCTTTCATACCTCTTTCCTAAGGTTAGAAATAATTGTTATTTCTCCTTAAAATAAATTTTGATTTTTCGTTTAAAAGAAACACAAGCGGGATAATTTTCAAATGTTGTTTTATAATCACAAGCCGTATTATATTATATGAGCCCCTCAATGCACTGATTGATTAACTCCATAAATCACAAAGTGGAGAAATGCGATGAAATAATGTGCACTGTTTTTTATAATTCCTTTTATAATATAAATTCAAATAAACATGATAGAATGCATTAATACAAATGTAAGTTTTATCTTACAGTATATAAAATTAATAAGAAAGAATAGCCAAAAAATTATCAACAGAAATGTTACAATTTTTATGTGACTGGTGGAGTTAGTCGATTTGGCAAATGAAAAAAGTAATAAATTTATTTTCAGTGTTTTACATTTTATCAAAAAATTGATATTAACAGTTCTGTTATAATATATTATTATTTGTGATTAATTCATCAGCAACATAAATGATGTCTTCTTCATCAGCTGTATGTAAGGACTCGTCATTCCGATTTGTTCGCAAATTTTTAAAGTAAGATTGTTTTACAGGAGGAATGAATTTCAGAAGAGCCATCATGTCCCTCCTTTTTTCACTTGTTACGGTTCTACCTTTAGGATATAGTAAAGGCTGGTCTATATTTTTCAAGCTTTGTGGTCTCCCTGCCACAAATTTCCTTATATCGATGGCATAAAATTCTGAATTTTCATTATGGTCATATTTGAATTGTATAATGTGTGATTTGGACCTTTCTAATTTTATCCAGCGCATTTTAAGCCAATTTACTGGACACCCAGAAACGGTTACTTTTCTATTAGTTATTGAATTTTCCAATGGTTTTGTGGAAAAAAAATCTTCGTGAGTCATTTGGATTACATTAAATGGTGCTTTCTTTATATTGTTCCAATCATCTGGTGAAAAAATATTTTGAATTTTTTTCGCATATGACTCAATGATGGCAAAATCTGAATCATTGGGCAAATAGCTATGCCCACTTACCAAAAATTTCATTTCAATTGACTGAGCTCGTATTTCCGTACTTTGAACAAGTCTCAATAAACTTAAGACGGTTTTGATATTTCTATTTTGTCCGGTGCAGGAATCTGAATATGTTATTATTTTTTCAAAGTTTTTTGCATAAGTTTTTATGTATTTTATCAGGCATGAGGAAATTTCTTGAGACCCACGAGATCCTTCAGTTTCTGGCCAAACAAACATGTGGCCTATATTTTCATTGAAATCATGGCAACCGAAATTATAAACATATAGATTTCGTTTATAATAAGCTACAGATGTGGTCAGTTTAGGAAAGGCTAAAGCTTTTTCTAAATCAAAAGAAAATACGAAAATTTTATCTGATGCTGCTTTTCGATCGGCAGCCATAAGACTACGAGCCCGTTCAGCCTCTTCTAAGTGATTTTCCTTCTCAATTTTTGCCATCTGAATTCCCTCACTGTCTGAAGATTGAATTTTTATTTGCAAATAATCACAAGTTTGGCATGTATCCTTAGATGGTTGTTTAAAATGTAAATTAAATTTTGTAGAGAATACTTTGTAGTAATATTTTTCTTTCACTGGTACTACATTTTCCTTTTTACATTGCGTGGCGTATAGTTCATACATTTTCTTAATATTTAAGTCAGGATTTAAGTATTGCCGCCTTGGATTATGAGCTCTGGTGTAGTGACTAGTGTAGGCTGGAAATGACTTAATATGTTTTACAACATGTGTGTCATCTATTTTATTGCTTGCAGCACGGCCTTTCCTCTGATCAAATAAAGATGTAACTTGTTCTTTAGAAGAACATTTGTATATTCGCCCGTCACTCACCTGATAAGTGTCCCTAAAATATTTTTTGCAAACGGGAATATCATGTTTGTCTTTTCGAAAATAATATGTAAAAGAATGTGATCTTGGTTCTTTAGTGTTATTCGAGGGGCGCCTTCTTTTTATTTCTTTAGCTCTAATACAACCTCTTAAGAAAATGTTTTGGGCAAGTTGACTATCTAAACTATAAAATGTCTTCATGGCAGCCTCTCTGTCATACGAAAGAATTTTTTGATTGCACTTCTGACGGCGTCTGCATATTATATCGACAAATGTTTTTGCAGGTATTGAATATCCTCCTCTATTCCTGTATGCCAAACCTTTTGTTCTTTTTTGCTTTTGTATATTTCGGGCCCAATTATCAGGGTTACAACTTCTTTTCCTTCCAATAGATGTGTTTGTTGCAATATTTTTACTGCTGCAATCAGAAGAATCAGAAGAAACCCATAAACACTTTCTTGAGCCACACTTTCTGTTGATAACTTGTATTGAAGAACCATCTGATGATTCACTATTCTGCACATCCACATTGTTATTACTCTCACTCATCTTGATTATAAGGATATAATTTTATTTTTTTAAAACACTGAGAAATTGGAATAATTATAATAATTCGAATCCAAATACGATATGAGTGTGATGTTGAAAAGGCTGAAAAAATATGTAGTCCGTGTAAGACTAATAAAGTATACAGTAGAACTTATATCATACCAAATGATTGATTAATAATAATAATTATCTTCACTTCACTACTACTTGATTCTGTGGCAATTAGACTGTGAATGACTAAGTCACTTTATTGTTATTCTGATTAGACGGCACTAGAAAATTCACCGTTATCATTTAGCGTTTGCTAGTGTATTTGAGCTTGTAGGATTGTTGCGTGATGTTGGTGTGGCTTGTGGAAAGGCTGCTGATAAAATTATAATTAAAATTAATTTATTTAAAGCAAGAAATTATAAAGAGAAAAGAAGCAACGGTTGAAATAACGGCCGTTGGAGTTTTAGCCCTAGATGTTTACCGCTGCAGTGTGGCCAGATCAAGTGTGTCGGAAGAAGCCAGCCGCTGGAAAGTTCTGGATGACGCCCGCGCATGCGTAGTGAAGTGTTCTTAAAACACGTGCTTGCCGAGGCAAAGTGGGGCCGCCATCTTTCTGCCCGTATGTGTTTTGAAGCTTTGTTCGCTGAAGCAAAGTGCGGTCGCCACAAGCTGTATTATTCTAACGAATTTCATTAGGTACGGAGTTACTCAGAATGGCTTCTGAAATAAATAATTTATTGTTCAGTGGCCAAAAAATTTTTGTCGTTTAATGGTTTTAAAACTTTATTGTTTGGGAAACTTTTTATATATATAAAAAGTTATAACTATATCAAGTGTTTTTACACCTAAATTTAAGATTTTTCAAAAAGTGGAGTTAATCAGTTTGTGCAGTGAACGGCTCATATTATACTCTGTTTAATTAATTTATTTTTTGAATGTTTGGATTTGGCAAGCACTGTAATTATTGTTGTTGTTGTTATGAATATATTCAAAAGTATATATAAAACATTAGAAAGATATATAATTAAAATTTGTTTCTTAATTTGGTAAAGCATATTTATATATTTAATCGAAGGAATATCACAGATACAATATGTATCGAGTCAGAGTAATTGTTATAGTTACAAAATGCAATAATATACAGAAAATAGAACCACAGGCTAATTCGTGTATTTCCTTTGTTCCGCACCTTCCATTCTGGCATGAAGATCAAACTTAGAAGATCAGGAAACATGTGGCACCAGATGATGTGATTGGAATCTCTTTCTTGATACGAAATTATTGTATCTTTTGTGATAAATCTTCACAAAGGACCTTTACATTATGAAGAGAACTGCAAATATTTTCACCTACTTTAGTGGATTATCTCAATATGATCTAACAAACTGAATCCTCCCATACTTTTGTTTTAGAAATATTTGACGATATATTTTTGCTATTAAAACAATATTTACTATTCTTTCTTACTGCAATGAAAAAGATTGGGATGGCCTTATTTATCAATAGCGAATCTTCCCAAAGTTTTGCCAGTTGAATTCATTAGGCTTATTTGTGCTATCCTATTTAGCACTTCTTGAATATAGTTTTATCTACTTGACATATCTATAAAAGCTGAGAATGTTGTCTTAAATAAAATAAATAAAAACTTATCAATATATTGATAAGTATATTATGAAAAGGCATCTCCTTATCGTGTAACTGAAAGTTGCTGATGGCTTGCTCCATCTATCGGAATAAATATCAACTATTCTCGTTGATTTTTAATTATTCCAGAAATAGCCAAATACCCATTCTTGATTAATAAAGAAAAGCTAACAACGGACGTGTTTCGGGATGTTGGGCCTCATCAGCGCGAGAATAGTTGATATTTATTCCGATAGATGATGGAGCAAGCCATCAGCAACTTTCAGTTGCACGATAAGGAGATGCCTTTTCATAATTTATGCACCTTGTCCCAGTAAAATATCATATTTGTACTATTTTTTCCCATGATCAAGATATGTTATTCATTAAGTCATAGTATTACACGCACAATTGAGTGTAACTTATAATACATTTAAAATACAATATAACGCGGCTGATGATTGTAAAACGAAAATTGCAACTATACCGCGAATGTCTCTTTTAAACAAAAATCGAAATCTATTTAAAGAGAAACAACGATTATTTCTAACTTTAAGGATGAAGTATGATAGGATGAATTGTGAAAAATAGGAAAAATACGTCCAGGGTAGCCTAGTGGACATGGCACCTGCCCGGTAAGCAGAAGGTTGTGGGTTCGATGCCCGCCCCTGGACACTTTTATTTTTCCGTTTATCATTACTCTTCACAATTCATCCTATCATACTTCATCCTTAAAGTTAGAAATAATCGTTGTTTCTCTTTAAAATAGATTTCGATTTTTGTTTAAAAGAAACATTCGCGGTATAGTTGCAATTTTCGTTCTACAATTGAGTGTGTTTCAACTTTATCGAACTTGTTAAAGAATGCAGCTGTACAATTACTACTAAAATCGATCTAGGTAGATAATAGCAAAGGTGGAATCACGAAAGACTTGCCGGTAGAAACGAACGGCATCTTTGAGAACTCAGCCCATCTTAGGTCGACCAAAGTTGACAGTCCTTGAGTGCAGGAAGCGGCGACACGTGGAAGAAATCTTAATGAAAATACGAGAAGCCCTCCCTAGGATTTCAATAGGATTTAATCAAGACGGAATACGCGCTAGTTGAAACAAATTGTCGAACATCCATCTCGGTTCTCCACCCAATATGTTTGCTAATGGAGATAGACTAGCTGACAGCTTAGATTTTATTTTGCCAAATTTGAAAACTCTGGAAAACTTGTACCGACATTCCTATTTTGAAATATCTGGTAAAGTGATTTGTTTGTTTCATGTATCTCGAACATTTGTGTCGGAGCATTAATGTGTTTGTTTCATATCCCTTGAACTCTTGGGTCTCGCAGCATTGATGTGTATACTTCATTCACCTTGAACTCTGGATCTCGGGAGCATTGATTTGTTTGTTTCATGAAACACGAACTCCTGTGTTGGAACATTGATGTGTTTTTTCATAATTCTTGAATTCTTGTTTCAGAGCATTGATGTGTTTTGTTCCATCTTCCGTGAACTCTTGTGTCGGAGCATTGATGTGTTTGTTTCATAATACTTGAACTCTTGTGTTAGAGCATGGACGTGTTTGTTTCATATTCCTTGAACTCTTGTGTCGGAGCATTGATGTGTTTGTTTCATAATACTTGAACTCTTGTGTTAGAGCATGGACGTGTTTTTTTCATATTCCTTGAACTCTTGTGTCGGAGCATTGATGTGTTTGTTTCATAATACTTGAACTCTTGTGTTAGAGCATGGACGTGTTTGTTTCATATTCCTTGAACTCTTGTGTCGGAACATTGATGTGTTTGTTTCATAATTCTTGAATTCTTGTTTCAGAGCATTGATGTGTTTGGTTCCATCTCCCTTGAACTCTTGTGTCGGAAAATTGATTATGTTTTTTTCATACACTTCGAACACCTAGTCGGAGCATACGTACCCTACATTTACTAAATCAAAACCGCTAAGATGGCTCACCACTGATGACCCAAACCCTCTCATTTAATAACATCAATAACTGCAGTAAGATCTGTAGAAATATAATTTGATAATATTCATCTTAAGAAATACATTGCCAAAATAATAAGTAATCTACATTGCGTACACAGAACATGGTGTCACAAGAATAGATGATTGAAGTCTTAGAATCTTCTTTTTATCTTCACTCAATCATATTAGGATATCAATTTGTGACCCTTGATGGTGTCTGTTTGACAAACATCATGACTGGGTGAAGTAGAATGCGTCTGCCTTTGTCATTAAGACTGGAAGCACTACTCAGGCCGACTTAGCTCCAAAAGAAATGGCCGCCTCTGACATGAGGAACAGACGCCATGTGCAGCCGCTCCTAACATGGAATACAAACGCTGCTCATCCTGTATCCCTGGATTAGGAGCCTTACATGGTACTATCAGCCGGCCAGCTGAGCACAGGTTTTTTACCAAGCTTGTTACTGCTCCCCTTCATCCTTTTTCATACGGGTTTGGGACCGGCAAAGGCGTAGTTAGAATAAACCCAAACAACCGGAAATGGTGACAAGAAACCCTCCGCTGTTCACACCACAGAGCGATCGGAAAATCGTTAATTTAATTATGAACAATAATTGGTTAATTTATTGGTTAGGAAACCAAATAGGTTTTCAGGGAAGGAAGATCGATTGAATTCCCCCCAAGGATCTATCCTAAAAATAATTTTTTATATTGATTGGCAAAATTAAGAATTTGATGTTCTACCATCAGTTTTTCACAAATTTCTATTAATTACAAAGTTTAATCGTGCCATCTATAGTCAAAATTATAAACTATTTAAGAGAGCGCGCGTATGTTTCTCTCTTTGATAAATGAATATGGACAAATACTACCCCATAGATGTAAACAGTCTTCTATACACACCACAATAGTTCACAAATTTATTGGGTTTAATTTGAGATCACGAGATATCATTTGACCAGCACGTATCCTCCACCCATGCACGTATATTTACAAAAATTGTTTATAACACACAAAGAATGTGATATATATTTTCTCCCCCTTTCAATATCATTAATAGTTAAATATGTAAAAATAATTATTTTGTATAAAAATAGTATATATCATCAATTTATTATCGTGATACTCCTGTTGAAGGACTAACAAGTCCGAAAGCTTGAAAATAGAAATTTGAACAAGAAACTTAACCCTGGAAGCTTTAGTTACTTTATAATAAATGAACAATAGTTAATACTTAATGCTTTAAATATCCTAAATATAGATTAAAATAATACAACAGGTTTCTGAAGATGATTTCATTGCTATTAAAGTAATCTCAAGCTGAATGCACTATTGTTAACGAGGAACGGAATAAGATCTTAAAGAACATTATCCAAGTCTACGTGAACCCATTTCAGCTAATCAGAATAATGTCCGAGAAAAAAATATATAGCGATAGAATTGTTTAATTTTCATAAAGCGTTAGAGAACAAGGTAATCTCTAAGAACTAAAATTACAGAAAATATTTTAATGCATAGTTAATTTGTATAGTTATGTTGAATACTTTGATTTTCTTTCATTTTCCCTTCTCTCTTTTGTTTATGTTTTTACCCCTTTTCTTAATGTTGTTGTTGTTGTCGTGTCCAAAAAAGAGACTCAGATTTCTCCATACATCTCTATCACAGCAGCAGCAATGTCCACTATCTTGGGTGTGTAAAGCTGCTGCTCTGGGTCTAAGTCAATTTTCTGCAAGGCTGCGGCTATTGCTGGGCATGAGAATATGTGAGTAGGTGTTAGTTCCACACCAGGACAGTTGTTGCATGCCCTATAGGTTCTTGTGCCCCTTTCTTAATGAAAATGATGTATGGCGAGTCCTTACAGGATGGAAATGTCCTAATAAAGCTGTTGTTGTTGTTGATTAACGAAATCTTGAGCTTTCGGGCATCTCTGTCCATCTCTCTATAGGAGTACATAAAACGAATAACAATAGAACGTCGTTTAATATTATTCATTTTAGATACTCTTGTAAAAGGATACAGGAATTCCTGGAAGCTTGAGATTACATTAGTAAAAAGAATCTCATCCCCAGAAAAAAACGTGTTGTATTATTTTAATTTATATTCAGTAGATTTAAATCAAGTAAATTATTATATATATTTTATATGGAAATATTATTTTATTTAAAATTGTATTTAATAGATTAAAAAACTCTGTTAGACAGCCAGAGGTCGCGCTTTCCCTATGAAAACTCATTGTTGTTGTTTCTCGATGGCCTGCTCAAATCATTTGTACATTATGTAAATAAGTTTTTCATTTTTTTTAGATTCTTACGCCTTAAGCCAAGCATTACTTTTATTAAATTAGGTTTTTATATATTCCTTTAGCTCAATTAAAGCAATTTCTAATCTTCACTATTTTTATTATTATTCTTTCAAGATTTTAACCACAACTGCATTACCATAGCATAATCCTCAAGATAATAAAAATCAACCGAAATTTCATTTTTTTACAACATATATATGAAGAGTACAGAGATACCTGGAAGCTTGAGATTACATAAAAGAAACTCATCTCCAGAAATCTGTTGTATTATTTTAATTGATTAATACATTTATTGTAAGGAGAAACATATTGGTAAGGCCTGGTTTATCGTGGTGAACCCTCTGATAATAGAGCGCCATCTGATTCAAAATTCTAAGCTATTTAAACGCTTATGTTTATTTTTATTCAAATAAACACTTACCCACTGCCCTTACTGTAATGATAAAATATTGGGAAGACCCGGCTATTTCATATCGGTCCCAAACTCTAACTACCAAACCACTGGGAGAATCAAATACTGATGATTCTCATTGTTTATTCGTACAATTCTATAAAAAGCTTTTAGTCCTTATTGCATTAATAAAATATTGGGAAGGCCTGGTTCTTTCTCATCAGTGTTAAACCACTGATAGAATCAAATATTGATGAGTTGTATTGTTATCCATACAATTCTATAAAAATTCTTCTGTCCTTATTGCATTAATGAAATATTGCAAGGCCTGGTTCTTTCTCATCAGTGTTAAACCCTCATTAAACTGACCAAACCACTGGTAGAATCAAATACTGATGAGATGTATTGTTATTCGTACAATTCTATAAAAATCCTTCTGCCCTTATTGAATTGATAAAATATTGGGAAGGCCTGGTTCTTCCTCATCAGTGTTAAACCCTCATTAAACTGACCAAACCACTGGTAGAATCAAATACTGAGTGCTGTATTGTTATTTGTACAATTCTATAAAAATCCTTCTGCCCTTATTGCATTGATAAAATATTGGAAAGGCCTGGTTCTTCCTCTTCAGTTCTAAACCCTCATTAAACTGACCAAACCACTGGTAGAATCAAATACTAAGTGCTGTATTGTTATTCGTACAATTCTATAAAAATCCTTCTGTCCTTATTGCATTGATAAAATATTGGGAAGGCCTGGCTCTTCCTCATCGGTTCTAAACCCTCATTAAACTGACAAAACCACTGATAGAATCAAATACTGAGTGCTGTATTGTTATTCGTACCATTCTATAAAAATCCTTATGCCTGAAAAGTATCCAAGCATAATTACAAAAGGAATCTTAAGAAAGGAAAAAAGGCATCTCGTTATCGTGAAATTGAAAGTTTCTGATTACTTGCGCTATCTATTGGAATAAATATCAACTATTCGTTGATTTTTAATTATTC